GCTGTCTACCTTTAACACTGACATCTACGTCATATCGCTGTCTACCTTTAACATTGACATCTACGTCATATCGCTGTCTACCTTTAACACTGACATCTACGTCATATCGCTGTCTACCTTTAACACTGACATCTACGTCATATCGCTGTCTACCTTTAACACTGACATCTACGTCATATCGCTGTCTACCTTTAACACTGACATCTACGTCATATTGCTGTCTACCTTTAACACTGACATCTACGTCATATCGCTGTCTACCTTTAACACTGACATCTACGTCATATCGCTGTCTACCTTTAACACTGACATCTACGTCATATCGCTGTCTACCTTTAACACTGACATCTACGTCATATCGCTGAGTCTACCTTTAACATTGACATCTACGTCATATCGCTGTCTACCTTTAACACTGACATCTACGTCATATCGCTGTCTACCTTTAACATTGACATCTACGTCATATCGCTGTCTACCTTTAACACTGACATCTACGTCATATCGCTGTCTACCTTTAACACTGACATCTACGTCATATCGCTGTCTACCTTTAACATTGACATCTACGTCATATCGCTGTCTACCTTTAACACTGACATCTACGTCATATCGCTGTCTACCTTTAACACTGACATCTACGTCATATCGCTGTCTACCTTTAACACTGACATCTACGTCATATCGCTGTCTACCTTTAACACTGACATCTACGTCATATCGCTGTCTACCTTTAACACTGACATCTACGTCATATCGCTGTCTACCTTTAACACTGACATCTACGTCATATCGCTGTCTACCTTTAACACTGACATCTACGTCATATCGCTGAGTCTACCTTTAACATTGACATCTACGTCATATCGCTGTCTACCTTTAACACTGACATCTACGTCATATCGCTGTCTACCTTTAACACTGACATCTACGTCATATCGCTGTCTACCTTTAACACTGACATCTACGTCATATCGCTGTCTACCTTTAACATTGACATCTACGTCATATCGCTGTCTACCTTTAACACTGACATCTACGTCATATCGCTGTCTACCTTTAACATTGACATCTACGTCATATCGCTGTCTACCTTTAACACTGACATCTACGTCATATCGCTGTCTACCTTTAACACTGACATCTACGTCATATCGCTGTCTACCTTTAACACTGACATCTACGTCATATCGCTGTCTACCTTTAACACTGACATCTACGTCATATCGCTGTCTACCTTTAACATTGACATCTACGTCATATCGCTGTCTACCTTTAACACTGACATCTACGTCATATCGCTGTCTACCTTTAACACTGACATCTACGTCATATCGCTGTCTACCTTTAACACTGACATCTACGTCATATCGCTGTCTACCTTTAACACTGACATCTACGTCATATCGCTGTCTACCTTTAACACTGACATCTACGTCATATCGCTGTCTACCTTTAACACTGACATCTACGTCATATCGCTGTCTACCTTTAACACTGACATCTACGTCATATCGCTGAGTCTACCTTTAACATTGACATCTACGTCATATCGCTGTCTACCTTTAACACTGACATCTACGTCATATCGCTGTCTACCTTTAACACTGACATCTACGTCATATCGCTGTCTACCTTTAACACTGACATCTACGTCATATCGCTGTCTACCTTTAACATTGACATCTACGTCATATCGCTGTCTACCTTTAACACTGACATCTACGTCATATCGCTGTCTACCTTTAACATTGACATCTACGTCATATCGCTGTCTACCTTTAACACTGACATCTACGTCATATCGCTGTCTACCTTTAACACTGACATCTACGTCATATCGCTGTCTACCTTTAACACTGACATCTACGTCATATCGCTGTCTACCTTTAACACTGACATCTACGTCATATCGCTGTCTACCTTTAACACTGACATCTACGTCATATCGCTGTCTACCTTTAACACTGACATCTACGTCATATCGCTGTCTACCTTTAACATTGACATCTACGTCATATCGCTGTCTACCTTTAACACTGACATTTAAGTCATTTAGCAGACACCCTCTGACAGGCTCCGAGACAGCTTCTACCCCCAAGCCATAAGACTTATAAATAGCCAGACTGCTAAATAGCCAGACTGCTAAATAGCCAGACTGCTAAATAGCCAGACTGCTAAATAGCCAGAGTGATAAATAGCCAGAGTGATAAATAGCCAGACTGATAAATAGCCAGACTGCTAAATAGCCAGACTGCTAAATAGCCAGACTGCTAAATAGCCAGAGTGATAAATAGCCAGACTGATAAATAGCCAGACTGCTAAATAGCCAGACTGCTAAATAGCCAGAGTGATAAATAGCCAGACTGATAAATAGCCAGACTGCTAAATAGCCAATTAATGCTACCCGAACTATCTGCACTGACTCTATCTTCCACTGTCCCTACGCACACTCACGAGACTATATACGCTGAGTGTACAAAACATTAAGAACACCCCCCCCCCACCCCCCTTTTGCCCTCACAACAGCCTCAATTCGTCGGAGCATGGACTCTACAAGGTGTCAAAAGCGTTTCACAGGGATACTGGCACATGTTGACTCCAATGCTTCACACAGTTTTGTCAAGTTGGCTGGATGTCCTTTGAGTGGTGGACCATTGTTGATAACGAAAGGAAACTGTTGAGGGTGAAAATCCCAACAGCGTTGCAGTTCTTGACACAAACCAGTGTGTGCCTGGCATCTACTACCATAACCTGTTCAAAGGCACTGAAATCCTTAGTCTTGCCCATTCACCCTCTGAATGGCACACATACACAATTCATGTCTCAATTGTCTCAAGGCTTAAAAATCCTTCTTTAACCTGTCTCCTCCCCTTCATCTACACTGATTGAAATGGATTTAACAAGGGATCATAGCTTTCATCTGGATTCACCTGGTCAGTCTATGTCATGGAAAGAGCAGGTGTTCTTAATGTTTTGTACACTCAGTGTATACACACTCACTCCAACACATTCACATAAGCAAACACACATCAAACACTTTTACACTCATAATTTGCTGCTGCTACTCTGTTCATTATTTTACTCTTATTATTATCTATCCTGATGCCTAGTCACTTTACCCTGCCTTCATGTACATATCTACCTCAAATACCTTATTATTATCTATCCTGATGCCTAGTCACTTTACCCTGCATTCATGTGCAAGTATTCACACCCCTTTACTTTTTCCACATTTTGTTGTCTTACACAGTTGTGTTAAAATTGATTTAATTGAAATTGTTTGTCAACGATCTAGACAAAATAATCTGCAATGTCAAAATGGAAGAACATTTCTAACATTTCTAACAAATATATGAAAAATAAAACACTGATTCATCTTGATTAGATAAGTATTCAACCCCCTGAGTCAATTCATGTTAGATTTACCTCTGGCAGGGATTACAGCTGTGAGTCTTGTGAGCTCCTAAGAGCTTTGCACACCTGGATTGTGCAACATTTGCACATTATTCTTTTTTTTTTAATTCTTCAAGCTCTGTCAAATTGGTTGTTGATCATTTCTAAACAGCCATTTTCAAGTCTTGCCATAGATTTTCAAGCCGATTTAAGTCAAAACTGTAACTAGGCCACTCAGGAACATTCAATGTTGTTTTTTTAGGTTATTGTCTTGCTGAAAAGGGAATTAGTCTCCCAGTGTCTGTTGGAAAGCAGACTGAACCAGGTTAGCTCTATTCCGTTTCTATTTATCCTAAAAAAACTCCCTAGTCCTTGCCGATGACAAGCATACCCATAACATGATGCAGCCACCACCATGCTTGAAAATATGAACAGTGGTACTCAGTGATGTGTTGTGTTGAATTTGCCACAAATATAACGCTTTTGTATTCAGGACATGAAGGTAATTTCTTTGGCAATTGTTTTGCCTTTTTACTTTAGTGTCTTATTGCAAAAAGGATGCATGTTTTGGAATATTTTTAGTCTGTACAGGCTTCCTTCTTTTCACTCTGTCATTTAGGTTAGTATTGTGGAGAAACTACAATGTTGTTGATCCATCCTCAGTATTCTCCTATCACAGCAATTAAACTCTGTAACTGTTTAAAAGTCACAGTTGGCCTCATGGTGAAATCCCTGAGCGGTTTCCTTCCTCTCTGGCAACTGAGTTAGGAAGGATGCATGGATCTTTTTAGTGACTGGGTGTATTGATACACCAACCAAAGTATAATGAATAACTTCACAATGCTCAAAGGGATATTCAATGTCTGCTTTTTCTTTAACCCGTCTATCAAATGGGTGCCCTTATTTGCGAAGCATTGGGAAACCTCCCTTGTCTTTGTGGTTGAATCTGTGTTTGAAATTCACTGCTCAACTGAGGGACCTTACAGATAAATGTATATGTGGGGTACAGAGATGTGGTAGTCATTCAAAAATCATGTTAATTAACATTTACATTTACGTCATTTAGCAGACGACTTACAAATTGGTGCATTCACCCTATAGCCAGTGGGATAACCACTTTACAATATATATATATTTTTATTTTTATTTATTTTTATTTTTTAGGGGGGGGGGGGGGGGGGGGGGGGGTAGAAGGATTACTTCCATGAAACTTATTATGTGACTTGTTAAGCAACTTTTTACTCCTGAACGTATTTATGCTTGCCTTAACAAAGGGGTTGAATACTTACTGAATCAAGACATTTCAGCTTTTCATTGTTTATTTATTAGTAAAAATTTCTAAAAACATAATTCCACTTTGACATTATGGGATATTGTGTGTAGGCCAGTGACATAAAATCTCAATTTAATCCATTTCAAATTCAGGCTATAACACAACAAAATGTGGAAAAAGTAAAGTGGTATGAATTCTTTCTGACGGCATTGCATCTACATCAAATACCTCGTACCTCTGCACATTGATCTGGTACTGATACTCCCTGTATATAGCTCCATTCTTGTGTATTTTATTTTATTCCTCTTGTGTTACTATTTGTTTTAACTTTGCATCGTTGGGAAGGGCTCGTAAGCAAGCATTTCATGGTAAAGTTGTACTCGTCGCATGTGACAAATACAATTTTATTTTATTTGATCTTATCCAGAGCGACATACAGGAGCAATTAGGGTTAAGTGCCTTGCTCAAGGGCACATAGGCAGATTTGTCACCTAGTCATCCAACGCTCTTAACCTACATTAAAAAAAAAGGTATCATATACAGTGAGGGAAAAAAGTATTTGATCCCCTGGTGATTTCGTATGTTTGCCCACTGACAAAGAAATGATCAGTCTATAATTTTAATGGTAGGTTTATTTGAGCAGTGAGAGACAGAATAACAGCAAAAAAATCCAGAAAAACACATGTCAAAATTGTTATAAATTGATTTGCATTTTAATGAGGGAAATAAGTATTTGACCCCCTCTCAATCAGAATGATTTCTGGGTCCCAGGTGTCTTTTATACAGGTAACAGAGCTGTGATTAGGAGCACACTCTTAAAGGGAGTGCTCCTAATCTCAGCTTGTTACCTGTATAAAAGACACCTGTCCAATCATATTCCAAACTCTCCACCATGGCCAAGACCAAAGAGCTCTCCAAGGATGTCAGGGACAAGATTGTAGACCTACACAAGGCTGGAATGGGCTACAAGACCATCGCCAAGCAGCTTGGTGAGAAGGTGACAACAGTTGGTGCGATTATTCGCAAATGGAAGAAACACAAAATAACTGTCAATCTCCCTCGGCCTGGGGCTCCATGCAAGATCTCACCTCGTGGTGTGGTAATGATCATGAGAACGGTGAGGAATCAGCCTAGAACTACACGGGAGGATCTTGTCAATGATCTCAAGGCAGCTGGGACCATAGTCACCAAGAAAACAATTGGTAACACACTACGCCGTGAAGGACTGAAATCCTGCAGCGCCCGCAAGGTCCCCCTGCTCAAGAAAGCACATATACAGGCCCGTCTGAAGTTTGCCAATGAACATCTGAATGATTCAGAGGAGAACTGGGTGAAAGTGTTGTGGTCAAATGAGAACAAAATCGAGCTCTTTGGCATCAACTCAACTTGCCGTGTTTGGAGGAGGAGGAATGCTGCCTATGACCCCAAGAACACCATCCCCACCATCAAACATGGAGGTGGAAACATTATGCTTTGGGGGTGTTTTTCTGCTAAGGGGACAGGACAACTTCACCGCATCAAAGGGATGATGGATGGGGCCATGTACCGTCAAATCTTGGGTGAGAACCTCCTTCCCTCAGCCAGGGCATTGAAAATGGGTTGTGGATGGGTATTCCAGCATGACAATGACCCAAAACACACAGCCAAGGCAACAAAGGAGTGGCTCAAGAAGAAGCACATTAAGGTCCTGGAATGGCCTAGCCAGTCTCCAGACCTTAATACCATAGAAAATCTGTGGAGGGAGCTGAAGGTTCGAGTTGCCAAACGTCAGCCTCAAAACCTTAATGACTTGGAGAAGATCTGCAAAGAGGAGTGGGACAAAATCCCTCCTGAGATGTGTGCAAACCTGGTGGCCAACTACAAGAAACGTCTGACCTCTGTGATTGCCAACAAGGGTTTTGCCACCAAGTACTAAGTCATGTTTTGCAGAGGGGTCAAATACTTCTTTCTCTCATTAAAATGCAAATCAATTTATAACATTTTTGACATGCGTTTTTCTGGATTTTGTTGTTGTTATTCTGTCTCTCACTGTTCAAATAAACCTACAAATAAAATTATAGACTGAACATTTCTTTGTCAGTGGGCAAACGTACAAAATCAGCAGGGGATCAAATGCTTTTTTCCCTCACTGTATAGTATTCATTTTTTATATCTGTGTCCATATTGTCCATGAGATTGTAGTGGAATTACCATATGGTTAAAGAGGAAATAGCCTAATTAACGAAAAAAGCATCTAATCAACAATTGCATCATTTTCAGATAACTCCGCAACTCTTCCACTAGTTTGACGCCAAAACATTTACACCAAAGACATATTGACATAGTAAAATAAATAAAGGATATTTCATCCTGAAACATTCATATTAAACACCAATGGTATTCACTAAGTTGATGGTTTATATTTAGGATCATGTTTAACAGCTTGGTCATTGTATTTTTTATTTTAATACCATCTTCTTTGATTATTTAATACATTACATGTGATAAGGTCACACAGATGGCCAGAGATAATCTCAGACATCTGTGATCATCTGAAGTACCCAAAAGTGCCACTAGATGTCTTGTGATACATTACATAAAATCCTTGAAAGTAAAACAATTAAAATAATAATCTGGTAGTTTACTGGTAAACTTGCCTTTGCAATCCTAGTCAGAACAAGTCCACTTCCTGTCTCTCTTCTACTGTCACGCCCTGACTCAGGGGACGCTTAAATGTTGAGTCAGGGTGTGTATATTCTTTGTTGTGGGTTTTCTATGTTTTGATCTATTGTGTATAGTTCTATGTTGGCCGGGTGTGGTTCCCAATCAGAGGCAGCTGTCGCTCGTTGTCTCTGATTGGGGACCATACTTAGGCAGCCTATTGGCACTATTGAGTTGTGGGATCTTGTTCCGGATTAGGTTTGTTGTATCTACCTTAGGACGTCACGGTTCGTTTCTTGTTTTGTCGTTGTGTTTATTTAGTTGAATAAACATGTACAGTGGGGAAAACAAGTATTTGATACACTGCCGATTTTTGGATCCAGAAAATCACATTGTATGATCTTTAAGTAATTAATTTGCATTTTATTGCATGACATAAGTATTTGATACATCAGAAAAGCAGAACTTAATATTTGTTACAGAAACCTTTGTTTGCAATTACAGAGATCATACGTTTCCTGTAGGTCTTGACCAGGTTTGCACACACTCCAGCAGGGATTTTGGCCCACTCCTCCATACAGACCTTCTCCAGATCCTTCAGGTTTCGGGGCTGTCGCTGGGCAATAAGGACTTTCAGCTCCCTCTAAAGATTTTCTATTGGGTTCAGGTCTGGAGACTGGCTAGGCCACTCCAGGACCTTGAGATGCTTCTTACGGAGCCACTCCTTAGTTGCCCTGGCTGTGTGTTTCGGGTCGTTGTCATGCTGGAAGACCCAGCCACGACCCATCTTCAATGCTCTTACTGAGGGAAGGAGGTTGTTGGCCAAGATCTCGCGATACATGGCCCCATCCATCCTCCCCTCAATACGGTGCAGTCGTCCTGTCCCCTTTGCAGAAAAGCATCCCCAAATAATTATGTTTCCACCTCCATGCTTCACGGTTGGGATGGTGTTCTTGGGGTTGTACTCATCCTTCTTCTTCCTCCAAACACGGCGAGTGGAGTTTAGACCAAAAAGCTCTATTTTTGTCTCATCAGACCACATGACCTTCTCCCATTCCTCCTCTGGATCATCCAGATGGTCATTGGCAAACTTCAGACGGGCCTGGACATGCACTGGCTTGAGCAGGGGGACCTTGCGTGCGCTGCAGGATTTTAATCCATGACGGCGTAGTGTGTTACTAATGGTTTTCTTTGAGACTGTGGTCCCAGCTCTCTTCAGGTCATTGACCAGGTCCTGCCGTGTAGTTCTGGGCTGATCCCTCACCTTCCTCATGATCATTGATGCCCCACGAGGTGAGATCTTGCATGGAGCCCCAGACCGAGAGTGATTGACCGGCATCTTGAACTTCTTCCATTTTCTAATAATTGCGCCAACAGTTGTTGCCTTCTCACCAAGCTCACCCATCCCAGCCTTGTGCAGGTCTACAATTGGATCCCTGATGTCCTTACACAGCTCTCTGGTCTTGGCCATTGTGGAGAGGTTGGAGTCTGTTTGATTGAGTGTGTGGACAGGTGTCTTTTATACAGGTAACGAGTTCAAACAGGTGCAGTTAATACAGGTAATGAGTGGAGAACAGGAGGGCTTCTTAAAGAAAAACTAACAGGTCTGTGAGAGCCGGAATTCTTACTGGTTGGTAGGTGATCAAATACTTATGTCATGCAATAAAATGCAAATGAATTACTTAAAAATCATACAATGTGATTTTTTGGATTTTTGTTTTATATTCCGTCTCTCACAGTTGAAGTGTACCTATGATAAAAATAACAGACCTCTACATGCTTTGTAAGTAGGAAAACCTGCAGAATCAGCAGTGTATCAAATACTTATTCTCCCCACTGTACGTATATCACGCTGCGCCTTGGTCTGACCCGTCATTCAACGAACGTGACATCTCCTTCCTGTGCTTACAGAACAACAGAGAAAACATGGCTTACGGTATTTGAAGTTGAGAGTCACGGCCTGACGTTGTCAACGGCGGATTAAGTGCCTCAACATTTTTTTATTTTTTTCACCTTGTTAGCGGTGAAACTGACGACCTCACGGTTACTGATCCAAACGCTCTAACCGCTAGGCTACCTGAGCATCACCGTACAGTACAGCAGACAAATGTTCTGGGTAAATGTGTCAACACCACACGGTCTGTCTGAGAAAGTGGTGGATGTCTGCGTAGTCCGAATAGATTTAACTACCTCACATGCTCTATGCCTAATGAATACAATCTGAAAGGGTAATCCTGTCACGCCCTGACTCAGGGGACTCGTATATGTTGAGTCAGGGTGTGATTTTTCCTTGTTGTGTTTGTTCATTGTTGTAGAATCTAGTATGTCTAGATCTATGTTGGCCGGTGTGGTTCCCGATCAGAGGCAGCTGTCGCTCGTTGTCTCTGATTGGGGACCATACTTAGGCAGCCTATTGGCACTAGTGGGTTGTGGGATCTTGTTCCGTGTGAGGTATGTTGTTTGTGTCTACCTTGGACTTCACGTTTCGTTTCGTTTGTTGTTTTGTCGCTTGTTTATTCGTTCCAAATAAACATGTACGCGTATCACGCTGCGCCTTGGTCTGACCCGTCTGTAAGCGAACGTGACAAATCCATCTGCATATTTATTATGCATGCACATGCAGTACACTGATGTCGGTGTTTAAATCTTCCGGGAGACTAGCTGAGATGAGAATGTCATCGTGGATCAGTTAGGATTTATTCACCACTCCTTAGAGAATGATCTGACCTCTCTATGGTCCTATGACAGGGTCATCTATGGGTCATATATGGAGGATTCATTATGACGAGAGAAAATCCACGGTTTAAGATTAGCAAAAACAGCTGTTGAAGACGGGTTTTTCTCGACATAGGACATTTATACTGTAGCATTCATTCTGTTTTTAAAACAGCATTTTAATTCTAATTAATTATTTAACAGGAGCGTGCAATAAGAAATCGCTTTGTGGAAAGTTGATTTAGAAAAAAAGCACAACCAATGAGGAAGGAGACAATAATATCTGATTTGAATATGCGGCTGAAGCTTCTACGATTCAATTCTAGCTCCATAATTGAATAAACGTGAACATCAACATCCTGTTGGAGCACACGACACCGAGAGCCTACTGTACGGACAATATATAATTTATCATCTAATCATTTATACATGTCTTTTCTGGGGGGAAACTTCAAGCACAGAGCGTGTGTGTTAACTGATGTGTTGGTTCAGCAATCCCTGTTCCTGTCTAGTTACCAGAGAAACAACACATATATACGCAGCAGCAGCAGATCATCTGTGCACCAACTAGAATAATCAAAGATCTTCAGAGAAGAAGAAGATGCATTCGTACAAATGAAACTGACAAGAAACACAGCAATTCTGTTTTTTCTAACTCCGTAAACATTGTTATTACTTATCTCTCAAAACATACGGCCGCTGCTCTCATTTTCGCTATCTATCTTTAAACCTAACATGCTCTGACATATGGGCCGCTGCACCATCAATATTTAAAACGGTGTCCACCCACCAACCGCCAGTCGGTTGCCATGGTTTCAATATTGAACATCTGTCTGTTGATATACCAATCAATTACTCTGCCTGTTTTTACAGGTTCCTCTCCCTGTAGATATACCCTCTCTCTCTCTCTCTGTCTCTCTCTCTCTCTTTCTCTGTCTCTCTCTCTCTCTCTCTCTCTCTGTCTCTCTCTGTCTCTGTCTCTCTCTCTTTCACTGTCTCTATCTCTATCTCTCTCTGTCTCTTCTCTGTCTCTTCCTCCCTCTCTCTCCTCTCTTCTCTCCCCTCATCTCTCTTCCTCCCTTCTCTCTCTCTCTCTCTCTCTCTCTCTCTCTCTCTGCTGCACCCTCCTCCCCTTTACTCTGCTCTGCGTCTCACTCATCCATCTCCCGATCTCTCTGTCTCTCTCTCTCTCTTTCTCTGTCTCTTCTCCTCTCCTCCCTCCCTCCCTACAGCCTGCTCTCCTCTCTCTCTCTCTCGCTCTCCTGTCTCTCTCTGTCTCTGTCTCTCCTCTCTACCTCTTCTCTTCTCGCGTTTCACACTGTCTCTATCTCTATCCTCTCTGTTTCTGTCTCTGTCTCTCTCTCTCTCTCTGTCTCATGCTCACCTCTCGCGTCCCATGTCTCCTTTCTCTCTCTCTCTCGGTCTCGGCTGTCTCCTCTCCTGTCTCCTGTCTCGCTGTCTGATCCTCTCTTCGCTCTCCGGTCTCCTCTCTGTCTCTTTTCTCGCTCCGTCTCTCTCCTCCTCTGGTCTTCTCTCTCTCTGTCAGTCTCTCTCTCTCTCTGTCATCCTCTCATCCCTTCAATCTCTTTGCCTCTCTGTCCTTCCACTGTTCACCTCTTACCCTCTTCTCCTCGCCGTCAAATCTCGTCGTCTGTCTGCTCTCTCTCAACCTCTGGAGGCCACTCTCTCTCTCTCTCTCCTCAGGTCCGCATCATCCTCGAGTCTCAGACTCGCACGGTCAATCTCTGTTCGGTCGCGCGAAGCTCCTGTCCTGCAGTGTGGTCTACCACGACTGTCTCTCTACCGGTGCCGGGGTCTCTCTGGGCCGCGACATGCTCCACGAAAAGCGGGGGAGGTACACGCGGGAGTATAGGAGCTAGAGACAGGCTTGTACGGGGGAGGCTCGGTCCAGTCGGCGTTGCGGTCAGCCGCGCTGGGCGTTGGTGGCATACGACGTGGGATGCTGCTCAGGAGTCTCTACGTGGGGCCTGCGCTGTGGAGGAGTCATTGTGCGTCTCGCCGATGTCTGGACGGAGGCGGCCGCTTAAGGCCAGGGGGAGGGAGCGGGGAAAGTGGGCTCAAAAAGAAGGGAATGTGGAATCGGGGGTCTCGTGGAGGGACAAGGGTCTGAGGCTGTCCTGCTTTGGTCCAAGCGTCTATTCGTCTCCATCGACGAACTCTGCTACGATAGACGCGGGGATCCTCTCTGAGAGGGAAGGTAGAAAGGAAAAGTCGAAAAGTCGCGTCTTGGCGGTGACTCAGATGAGCAAATCAGGAGGGGGGGTGGACATGACTGCTTGCGGGGGAGAGAAGGGAAGCTAGGCTGACGTTGGGCCAAGGGGGGGGGGGATCAGAAGGGGGGGGGACTGCCGAGCTCTTCTCTCTCTCTGTCCTCTCCCTCTCATCTCTCTCTTCTCTCGCCTCTCTCTCTCTCTCTCCTTCCTCTCGTCTCAGTCTCTCTCTCTCTCGTCCTCTCTCTCTTGTCTCCTACGGTAGATACCGTGTCCTCTGGTGCTGCAATCCGTATTGGCAAGTAGGCGCTCAAGGTAAGGGGTTGCCTTGGAGGAATGGTAGCTACCGTAACGAACGAGAACCCCCACAAGAGTCATGAACATCCCCATTGGTACTTTAGAATATATACTATTCTCAATTGATTAGTAAAAGGACCACGGAATATATGAACATTAGTGTTAAATTTTAACCTTACGTCATTTAGCAGACGCTCTTATCCGACGACTTACAGTTAGTGACATGCATACAATTTTCATACTGGATGCGAACAGCCGGCCGCCTGTGAAACCGAAACCCACTCCCTGGCGTTGCAAGCGCCCATGCTCTACCAACTGTAAGCTACAGGGACATCTATGATCATGAGTGGTGCGAGGATAACTCTGCGTGAATTGAAATGTTGTTTTGTAGGACACGTGGTTACCAAGGGTAAAAGTTGCAGATCCCTCTGAAATATTATTTTCAAACCTTACCTAGTGAAATTTTCCTTCCTTGAAAAAATGTCCTAAAACTTAAACGCGGAAGGGGAGTCTTTGCACTTGCTAGTGCAATCTCAGTTTTGATGTGGATTGGTTTTTTAAACGAAGCAACTTAGTCAGCTGATGCGAAAAGACTACCCACATGTGTGTGTGTGTTTGTGTACGATGTGTGTGTGTGTGTGTGTTGAATGTAATGTGTGTAGGCAGTGTTTGCGCCGCGTGCGTGTGACGTGCGTTGTTCTATGAATCTCACGGTTTGGGCCACAAGAAGGCTTTCATTCCTACTCCCCAGGAGAAGTAATGGCTCAATGTTGGGTGGGCTTGAAGAAATATAGACAGGTGGCGAAGTGAGTGAACAACGGAGTAATGCTAAAGTTGTGATACTCGGGAGACATCCAGAACCAAGAATTTGTTGACAGATTAAACGGACTAACGAGGGAGGTTACTAGTTAAAAGGGACAAATACAAAAATCCTGAAAGCTCGCCTGTGTCTCAAAATCGACCTTTCTTGTCTTATCTGAGTGCCATAGAGATTCTAATATGTCATTCTCTAGCCATGATTCTGTGACGTTGTAATTCCCAATTAGACTTTGCACCTTTTACTGCAAGTGGCTAAATCAGGTCACGACAGAGTTGCTTTGTGTCTAAACAATCTACCTTTGAACACACGAAGAAGTATATACCTCACAAACCGAAACATGTTATGGGCTTAAAAAAAAAAAAAAAAAAGATGTAGGAGTCATTGGGAAAACATGGTAGTGTCAATTTTGAGTTATCCCAGTTTTAACACGTAATAATAACACATCTCCGATACACCAGCCAGACTGAAGAAGATTTCACAAACCGTTTAAACGGCAAACACCGAGATTTTCGAACAGATTAAAATGTTTTTCATGTTTATTAATTATGAATTTAATTTAAATACCCATCCATCCATGAGAACACTAAGATTCATATTAACCTGCATTCAACAGGGCAATAACTGTCTTTGAAAGCGCTCCTGGTGTTCTGACCACAGAGTCCAACTCACCTACGGTCACCTTCAGTTAAGGCATTGATTGATTGATTGATTGATTGATTGGCATGATATGATATTACCGTATTCTTGGGGGGTTTTATTTTTCCAAAGAAACCAGTCCCCTGTCAATCAGGCTCTGAAGGCCTTCATTGAGTTGCATTGATGTATTGAATGGATGATTGACTGATTAGTGTTATGAACATATTCATGGTGTTTCTTCTCCCACAAGCCCCAGTTCCCACTATTCACTCCCTAAAGGCGTTCAAAAAATAGCAGGAATGGGGTCCCCCTTAGTGGAGGAGTGCTGTTGACCAGATCTCCAACTGTACTATGGTGCTAAGCTAGCGAGCTAACCCAATCAAATGTACAATATTCTTTGTCCCTGGCGGCATATACACAGGTGTAGAAATTCTTGACTTCCGAGACAATGTTTCCAAGCAAGGCAGGTAGTAAAAAGTAAAGGACAAATTAGCGCAAATAGTAAACACAAGTGATACAATACGAGTTAACCCCTATACCCATACAATACACCATAACACGGTGATGCTTCTAACTGTGTCTAAGCCCATGAAAACTATATGGTCATAAGCTAATGCTAGCTATCCCAGTAAAGACGTATGTTGCTAGTCTAGCTAGCCTAAACACGGATCGACAGAAGGAACTCCTCGCAGAGGCGCTAACTTGGCTCCTGTGCTGACAGCGTTTTGAATCCTCCTACATCTCATGGTAAAAAATCAATGCGAGGCTTTCCATAAATGACTGATGGCAGAAGCAGAACAGGCCAATGTACTGTACCTGTTGGAAATTGGTGGTGTGCCCACACAGACGACACACACCACTCGGACCCACAAACAAACACAAAACACGCAGCCCACGGACACAACAGATCCAAAGGACTGCCGGGAACGACCCACACACACACACAACACAAAAGAGGGGCACACCCGTACACACCACCGGCAACGACACAAAACAGGCACACCCCACAAACACGAACCACACACACAGCAAAAGGAAAATAAAGAACACACCACACACGCAGCACCCACACACACACCACACCACTACACACACAGGACGACAGCACACCACACACACCACCGCACCACACACCACACACAACGACCACACAACACACACACACCACACACATCACACACCCAACACACACACAAGCACACCACACACCAAAAATCAAACACACAGCGCACCCACACACAACACCAGGGGGGGCCCGGCACCACACACACACACACACAAAAACAACACACACACACAAACTATTCTGTGAGAGGGGCTGGCTGTGATCACAGCTTTGAAGCTGCTCCAAAGGAAATCAAACATCTTGCCACTCTTCTCACTAGCCGGGCAGCCACTACCACTCTCAACACGCTCTTGAATTTCACAACACATATAACAGGCCTTTCACAGCTAGTGGGTTTTTCACTACATCACACCTGCTGCTTATATGGCCATCAGATCCATGGCCACTTTAACATGGGTTATAATTCGACCACATCCACATCAAAAACACCCTGTTTATGCTTATCATAGGGTGTTGGACCACAATCTGATTCAAATATTGGGTAACTATTTGTTGTTTGTTTCAAACTGGTTTATAAGTCCTGATCATATGTTTGATGTATTATGAAGGGATGATATGAACTGACAAATCACATTGATTCAAAAGGATGCTCTGTTTAGCCATAATGCCTGAAATAGAACTACCGGTGAGTCCCATGCCGTGTCAGAATAGAACTACAGCTCCCATCCTGTACGAAATCAGAACTACAGATCCCCTCCTGTCAGAATCGACTACAGATCCCAACCGGCTAACAACCTTATGCTACTGCTGTCCCTGCAATGTCACCAGTAGTGTCAGTATCAACATACGAAATTGATGCCCTGAGGAGAAAGATTGCACGTCAGACAAACTCTCGGCTCTCACAGCAACACACACCTAACCGACAAGGACACACACACACATCACCCACAACACACCAGGCACACCAGAAAGCAACACAACACCACCATAAAGTAGCTAACACCTGACTGAAATACTTAGATATTCAATCACAGCTATTACATTCTAATCCCGTAGTCACCAATCTTTCTCAGAAAATAGAACTTGATGGGAGGCCAGCCCAGCACCTATCTGCCTATTCTGATTTGCATTCCTGCCTTGTAAATTGTGAGATATTCAGCTTTAATGCGCTCCCTCTTTATGAAGCTGCATTAAAGGCTCGCCAATAAACACTGCGCGAGAGGGAAATATATTCGCCTCCCTGCTTTTACATTTATCTTCTGATAGATCGAGAGAGAGAAAGAGGGTGGAGTTAGAGAGAGAGAGAGGGCGAGAAGAAGAAAGAGAGAGAGAGAGGAGAGAGAGAGAGAGAGAGGCTAAATAGCGGGAGCTGCTATAGAGAATAAGACTCTAGAGACGAGAGCGAGGCTAAAAAAACCTATCTTCTAAGCAGTGGATCCTTCTCAATCATTGGCTCTCTGCTTTCTTCTGCCATCTCTACTATTCTTTCAATGATCTTATCTCCTCTTCCTCTCTCTCTTTCCCTCATCCTCCTCTACCCTCGCGCGCTCGACTCGCTTTCGGCCCGCGCCTCTCGACTCTCTCTCTTCTCTCCTCGCCCTTGGCTTCTCTTCCCTTCTCTCCCAATCCATCTCACATCCCAACGCTTAGCCACTAATTCAACTCACCAAAATGGAGACAGCGTTGTTTTTCACATTATCCTGCCGCCACCCACAAGATGTATGGTTGAGACCTCTTGTTTAGTCTTTGGTTGTTCATCAGTATTCTAATGCTGGGCTCTGAGTTTAACCAATGATGCGGTCAGGTATCAGGCCCATTAACCCCAGAGCCTCGTTCATCTCACCTTGATTGGTGAAAAAACGTATTTGTTGTTGACAACATGATGCAGACAGAATGATGTTTAACTTGATGCTTAATAGGTTTACGCCTACCTCTCTGTCCTTAGTAAGTCATCATTAGCACTTTACTTCATGTCTTTAGGTATAATACATGTTGTCTTTAGGTAAAGTGGTCCAACATGTACTGTGTTCATTTGCTACCACTCTGTTTCAGTATCAGCTTATCCAGCTGGTTAGCTAGTTACTGTCTTTTAATAGCTGCTTAGCTACAGCCGTTGACACTAACTATCTGTTTTCTCTGATCTTAGGTATGGCTGTAGTTATAACTGGTAGTTAATGCTAGTTAAAGTAACTGTCCAGTGAAAAATCACACTTTTAAAATTGATATTCTGTTAACTCATACGCAAATAATGTTTTTGACTCATCCTGTACTCGTACTTGTGACCAAAGCATAAATTGGAGAAAAAACACTTCAAAAATCCCACCTCAAACTTGTATTTCAAACAGATCGTTTCAAAAAATCTTGCTAATTCCTCATAGAACATGATGTCTTCTCCCTGAGGAGGATGAGCTGGCCAATCAGCAGTCTAGAGGAGGATGAGCTGGCCAATCAGCAGTCTTCTTGCATGAATATTTTTTTATAACCGGTACACGCCCACACCATTCTGTTGTTGGGGTACATCTACACCACTCCAACACAGAAAAGCTGCTTTTTAACATATTAAATTGTAAGGAACCCTATTTCACACATATTGTAAGTAATTATAGGTCATATTTCATAGAAATCTGGAATCACTGTGCGGTTACTTTAGGTTAGTTAAGTAGTTCTCTGGTAGTTGGGCATAGTAGTGTCCTTATTAGCAGTCCTGTAGCTCTGCCGTAGTAGTGTCCTTATTAGCAGTCCTGTAGCTCTGCTGTAGTAGTGTCCTTATTAGCAGTCCTGTAGCTCTGCTGTAGTAGTGTCCTTATTAGCAGGACTGTAGCTCTGCTGTAGTAGTGTCCTTATTAGCAGGACTGTAGCTCTGCCGTAGTAGTGTCCTTATTAGCAGGACTGTAGCTCTGCTGTAGTAGTGTCCTTATTAGCAGGAATGTAGCTCTGCTGTAGTAGTGTCCTTATTAGCAGGACTGTAGCTCTGCTGTAGTAGTGTCCTTATTAGCAGGACTGTAGCTCTGCTGTAGTAGTGTCCTTATTAGCAGCATAGTAGTGTCCTTATTAGCAGGACTGTAGCTCTGCTGTAGTAGAGTCTTTCTCCTTACTGTTGGGCATAGTAGTGTCCTTATTAGCAGTCCTGTAGCTCTGCTGTAGTAGAGTCCTTATTAGCAGTCCTGTAGCTCTGCTGTAGTAGTGTCCTTATTAGCAGTCCTGTAGCTCTGCTGTAGTAGAGTCTCTCTCCTTACTGTTTGGGCAAGTAGTGGTCCTGTATTAGCAGGACTGTATCATCGGCCTGTAGTAGAGTCTTCCTCCTTACTGTTGTCTTCTCTTCTGTTTCTCTGTTTCTCTTCTCTTTCCACTCCTCACTCGCTCACTTTTCTTGATTGCATGGTCCCTCACTAACTCTTCACTAACTCTTCACTTACTTCACTAACTCTTCACTAACTCTTCACTAACTCTTCACTAACTCTTCACTAACTCTTCACTAACTCTTCAATAACCGTTCACTCCCTCTTCACTAACACTTCACAACTCTTCCAACTAACTCTTCACTAACCTCTTCAACTTACGTCACTAACCTTCATTCACAAACCTTCACAAACCTATTCACTAACCTCTTCACTAACTCTTCACTTACTTCACTAACTCTTCACAAACTCTTCACTAAACTCTTCACAAACCCTTCACTAACTCTTCACTAACTCTTCAATAACCGTTCACTCTCTCTTCACTAACTCTTCACAAACTCTTCACTAACTCTTCACTTACTTCACTAACTCTTCACTTACTTCACTAACTCTTCACTTACTTCACTAACTCTTCACAAACTCTTCACAAACTCTTCACTCACTCTTCACTCACTCTTCACTAACTCTTCACTAACTCTTCACTAACTCCTCCTGGTTGTCTGTTGCATGGAACTCCTTTCACTCTAACTTTGCATGTCCTAACTACTCCGTGTGTGTGTATGTGTTGGGCATGCTTATGTGTCACTCCACATCCAGACCCCATTGATCCATCAGACGACGATCTGTTCCATCTGTTTGATAAATATCCTACTCCCATGCCAGATACGTCCACCCCCATGATCCCCCCAGTAGGTGTCCAGGCCGTGGCCCTGACCCCAGACTCTGTTAGGGTCAGCTGGGCAGACAACTCCATGACCAAGAACCAGAAGACCACTGAGGTCCGCTACTACTCTGTCAAGTGGAAAACCAGCTACTCTACTAGTGGGAAGTTCAAGGTAAGGTTATGGGTTGTGTGTTTGTGTGTGGGCGTGTGTGTGGGCGTGTGTGTGTGGGCGTGTGTGTGTGGGCGTGTGTGTGGACGTGTGTGTGTGGGCGTGTGTGTGTGGGCGTGTGTGTGGGCGTGTGTGTCTCTTGCCGACTGGTTTATGTTGACAGCCTGTCACAAGAAACTTAACTTGGAAGGGTTAGGTTTTTGCATGATTCTATTTTTGGAAATATTTGTATTGTCTTCAAATCAAATGTTATTGGTCGAGTACACATACAGTGGGGGGAAAAAGTATTTAGTCAGCCACCAATTGTGCAAGTTCTCCCACTTAAAAAGATGAGAGAGGCCTGTAATTTTCATCATAGGTACACGTCAACTATGACAGACAAAATGAGGGGAAAAAATCCAGAAAATCACATTGTAGGATTTTTTATGAATTTATTTGCAAATTATGGTAGAAAATAAGTATTTGGTCAATAACAAAAGTTTCTCAATACTTTGTTATATACCCTTTGTTGGCAATGACACAGGTCAAACGTTTTCTGTAAGTCTTCACAAGGTTTTCACACACTGTTGCTGGTATTTTGGCCAATTCCTCCATGCAGATCTCCTCTAGAGCAGTGATGTTTTGGGGCTGTCGCTGGGCAACACGGACTTTCAACTCCCTCCAAAGATTTTCTATGGGGTTGAGATCTGGAGACTGGCTAGGCCACTCCAGGACCTTGAAATGTTTCTTACGAAGCCACTCCTTCGTTGCCCGGGCAGTGTGTTTGGGATCATTGTCATGCTGAAAGACCCAGCCACGTTTCATCTTCAATGCCCTTGCTGATGGAAGGAGGTTTTCACTCAAAATCTCACGATACATGGCCCCATTCATTCTTTCCTTTACACGGATCAGTCGTCCTGGTCCCTTTGCAGAAAAACAGCCCCAAAGCATGATGTTTCCACCCCCATGCTTCACAGTAGGTATGGTGTTCTTTGGATGCAACTCAGCATTCTTTGTCCTCCAAACACGACGAGTTGAGTTTTTACCAAAAAGTTATATTTTGGTTTCATCTGACCATATGACATTCTCCCAATCCTCTTCTGGATCATCCAAATGCACTCTAGCAAACTTCAGACGGGCCTGGACATGTACTGGCTTAAGCAGGGGGACACGTCTGGCACTGCAGGATTTGAGTCCCTGGCGGCGTAGTGTGTTACTGATGGTAGGCGTTGTTACTTTGGTCCCAGCTCTCTGCAGGTCATTCACTAGGTCCCCCCGTGTGGTTCTGTGATTTTTGCTCACCGTTCTTGTGATCATTTTGACCCCACAGGGTGAGATCTTGTTTGGAGCCCCAGATCGAGAGAGATTATCAGTGGTCTTGTATGTCTTCCATTTCCTAATAATTGCTCCCACAGTTGATTTCTTCAAACCAAGCTGCTTACCTATTGCAGATTCAGTCTTCCCAGCCTGGTGCAGGTCTACAATTTTGTTTCTGGTGTCCTTTGACAGCTCTTTGGTCTTGGCCATAGTGGAGTTTAGAGTGTGACTGTTTGAGGTTGTGGACAGGTGTCTTTTATACTGATAACAAGTTCAAACAGGTGCCATTAATACAGGTAATGAGTGGAGGACAGAGGAGCCGCTTACAGAAGAAGTTACAGGTCTGTGAGAGCCAGAAATCTTGCTTGTTTGTAGGTGACCAAATACTTATTTTACACCATAATTTGCAAAAAAAATCATTAAAATTCCTACAATGTGATTTTCTGGGGTTTTTTTTCTCAATTTGTCTGTCATAGTTGACGTGTCCCTATGATGAAAATTACAGGCCTCTCTCATCTTTTTAAGTGGGAGAACTTGCACAATTGGTGGCTGACTAAATACTTTTTTCCCCCTCGGGTGGCTGAGGTCCTTGATCTTTTTGGCCTTCCTGGGACATCGGGTGTTGTAGATATCCTGGAGGACAGGCAGTGTGCCCCCGGTGATGTGTTGGACAGACCGCACCACCCTCTGGAGAGCACTGTGGTTGCGGACGGTGCAGTTGCCGTACCAGGCGGTGATACAGCCCGACAGCATGCTCTCGATGGTGCATCTGTAAAAGTTTGTGTGGGTCTTAGGGGCCAAGCCAAATTTCTTCAGCCTCCTGAGGTTGAAGAGGTGCTGTTGCTCCTTCTTCACCACACAGTCCATTTCAGATTGTCAGTGTTTTACGCTGTGTGATGATGACCGGTAATGTGCTCAACCAGCAGGTAGAACTGGTTGAACTGGCCTGCTCAATGAGGACTTGCTGTGGGGTTATTGCTCGTTAAAAAGCTGTTTTTGAGCTCTACTGTTTTTTCCTAGACAGTCTCCCTACTGTGCTCTCTTCATTTGATTTTATTTTATTTGATGTATTTTTTTGGGCAAAACATTTGAACAGTTAAAAAGTACAAAGCCCAGAGGATATGACATGAAAACATTATACCACCACACCAATGGGGTCCTCTGACAGAATAGTTTTTGGAGTTATGTTGTTTCTGTCTCTAGTCTGCAGACACTACAGCCCTCAGCCACACCGTCACTGGCCTCAAACCCAACACCATGTACGAGTTCGCTGTCATGGTCACCAAGGGCCGCAAGTCCAGCACTTGGAGTATGACAGCTCACGCTACAACGTACGAAGCAGGTAAGGCTCTCTGTCTTTTCTCTATCAACCTCGATCCCTCTCTCGTTGTCTTGTTCTATCTCTCTCTCTCTCTCTCTCTCTCTCTCTCTCTCTCTCTCTCTCTCTCTCTCTCTCTCTCTCTCTTATTCTATCTCTCTTTCTCTGACTCTCTCTCTCTCTCTCGCTCTCTCTCTCTCTCTCTCTCTCTCTCTCTCTCTTGTTCTATCTCTCTTTCTCTGACTCTCTCTCTCTCTCTCGCTCTCTCTCTCTCACACACACACTCTTTCCATCTCTCTCTCTCTCACGCTCTCTCTGTCTTTTTAGTTATGAAAATTATCACCACTACCCCAAATTATATATATATTCGATGCAAGTATATGCCAATTTGTCTTATGCAATAGTCTGTGTGCATTTTCAAAATGGCTGCATTAATTTATTAAACCAATCCTGTTTTGGAAGACATTGACATTTAATTGTAGCCATTGCTTACTCTCAGTCTCTGCTTCCTGCTCCCTATGCTCCTTACTCTCAGTCTCTACTTCCTGCTCCCTATGCTCCTTACTCTCAGTCTCTACTTCCTGCTCCCTACTCTCCCTACTCTGTCTCTACTTCCTACTCCCTACTCTCTCTACTCTGTCTCCACTTCCTGCTCCCTACTCTCCCTACTCTGTCTCTACTTCCTGCTCCCTACTCTCTCTACGCTGTCTCCACTTCCTGCTCCCTACTCTCCCTACTCTGTCTCTACTTCCTGCTCCATACTCTCTCTACTCTGTCTCTACTTCCTGCTCCCTACTCTCCCTACTCTGTCTCTACTTCCTGCTCCCTACTCTCCCTACTCTCAGTCGAAACCTTTGATGTTGTAAATAGTTCACAGGAAGAAACCATTGTTCCGTCCCCATATAATACTCTGCTGAGGCCCTGGTAAGGCCCTGCTAGCTACGTAACTTAGAACTCTGTTTGGTAATGAACACATTGACATTCAATTGTAGCTACATCTTTGTAGTATATATGTTGCCATGGAAAGCACAATTGTAGTCAACTCTTAATCTTAGTCATCTCCGAGGCACTTTGATGTTGGAAATTCGTTACAAAAACCGTTGTTCCCTCCTGGTATAATACACTGGTGAGGTCCTGCTGCATGGCCCCATACACACTCAAGTTGTAAAACTGATGTACAACGCATTTGGCACATCGGTTTTGATATAATTGAACGTTGTTCTGCACCAAAATAATTGCAACAGCTTGTGGAGACAATGGTTGCATGCAAAAAAAAATTTGCAGACAAAATATGTTGTATTACAAAAATATCAGTTGCATCACAACCATTGTGTCAAATGCGTTCTACGTCAGTTAAAGGATTAACAGTCTGTGTGGGGCCTACGCTAGTTCCATGACTTAAGGCTGTGTTTATACAGGCAGCCCAATTTAGATGTTTCTTTCTCACTAAATGTTCTTCTGACCAATCAGATCTTTTGCCAATATTTGTAAACGTAGGCTTAGAACCTTAGCGCCTCTGTTTGGTCGTTAAAGGGACAGCATGTTAATTACCTGACCTGGTCCAGATCACTAGCAGGTTTTAATCAGCTTTGTCGCCATGCAGGCTCCATTAGAAGGAATGTTCTCAGATAAACACTGACCCCTTAGTCTCCCTCAGGTAATCTATCACAATTACTGAGAACAACATAGGAGTCCTGATACCTGTTTGGACTATGTTGGCTAGTGATTGCTTTTAACATTGTTTGGCCTTTATCCCCAATGGCACCCTTTTGCCTAGATAGTGTACTACTTTTCACCACAGCATATTGTGCACTAAAAGGGAATAGTGCACTATATAGGGAATATGGTGCTATTTGGGACACACACTGTTCTTGAAACTTGTGTTTGTTATTGATTGCTATTCCCACACAGAAATAACAAGCAAAAGATATGAATCATGTTGGAAATGGAAACAGGAACATATGTGATTGGTTTGATCTTTGAGCAAAGGTAGTTATATAGCAATTCAACCTTTCAATGAAATCAACTCAACTGTTCTATGGAATTGGAATTCCTGTGGTAGTCCTTTATAAACAAAGAGTTTGATGTTTAATTTCATTTCATTGTATTCAGGAGAGATCGAGAGCTGGTCTCAGATACGTTTATGCTGCATGGGAACCAGCACACATGTTAGCCTTGATTTCCAAAAACACCTCCAGAAACAATTGTCTAACTTGTGAGCCTATTGACACATGACATTCCAGAGCAGCGTGTTTTTAGGAAGTCTCTTTTGTCAGACCATGCAGCCTCTGCTGGGCCTCAGGCTTAACGTCAGCTTATTGTAATAACAGAATGAATTAAAGCTCAAATGAACAGCAGTGTGTGGTGGTGTGATGACAGAATTAGGACACACGTCGTTGGTGCTGTAAACCTGACCCCTGACCTCTACTTCCTGTTCGTCACCACCCCTGATTGGCTGACCCTTGTCGATTTCCTTTCTCTCTCTTTACCTGATTGGTTGACAGCTCCCAGCTCCGCCCCCAAGGACCTGACAGTGATCAGCAGGGAGGGACGACCCAGAGCCATCCTGATCAGCTGGCAACCCCCCATGGAGGCTAACGGACGAATCATGGGTAAGAAGAACTACCGTCCCCGCCTTGGACCGTTTATCTTGTTAGCCTGAGTGTGCCCCTAACAACGTACCTGACAACACCCCTAACAACACTCCTAACAACACCCCTAACAACGCCCCTAACAACGCCCCTAACAACACCCCTAACAACGTACCTGACAACACCCCTAACAACGCCCCTAACAACACTCCTAACAACACCCCTAACAACGCCCCTAACAACACCCCTAACAACGCACCTAACAACACACCTAACAACGCCCCTAACAACACCCCTAACAACGCCCCTAACAATACCCCAAACAATACCCCTAACAGCGCCCCTAACAGCACGCCTAATAACGCCCCTAACAACGCACCTAACAACGCACCTAACAACGCCCTTGACAACGCCCCTAACAGCACCCCTAACAACGCCCCTAACAACGCCCCTAACAACACCCTAACAATACCCCTAACAACATCCCTAACAACACCCCTAACAACGCCCCTAACAACGCCCCTAACAACGCCTCTAACAACACCCCTAACAACATCCCTAACAACACCCCTAACAACGCCCCTAACAACGCCCCTAACAACACCCCTAACAACACGCCTAACAAAACCCCTAACAACGCCCCTAACCTCCTCTCCCATTGCTGTAATGTAGCCTGGGTCCCAGATCTGTTTAGCATGATAATGAGTGACAAGGAGTTGGGAAGACAACACAAAGAGATGTGGGACCAACTCTGTGTGGTCCAGGGATAGCCCGAGCCTCCCCCTCCTTATTCCAAAACCTCCTCGCTTCAGGCCCCTCCCAGCCGCAAAACTGAAAGCCTCCGAGACCGCGCAGCAAAAGAAGAAAGCCCAACTCCTAGGGAAAGATCCAAAAAAATCCATGAGATAGTGAGCAGTAATCCTAAGAGTCCTTCCTCTCCTCTCTCTCCTCTCCCTCCACGGACGGAAGAGAAACGACATTCTGAAATCCCTATCCTCCAGCGAAGAACACCTCTCCAGGAAGGAGAGGAGAAAGAAGAGAAGAAAGCCAGAAAAGAAGCCCTCCCTCCTCCAAAGGAAGAGACGAGACGCCACCTCGAAGACCTCACTCTCCTCTCCTCTCCTCACCTCCTCTCCTCTCCTCCCCTCCTCCTCTCCTTCATCCCTCCTCCGCCTCCTCTCCTCCTCCTCGCATCCTCCTCCATGTTATAAATCTCCAGTAATGACCCTGGTGACTACTGAAGTCAGACTACGGCCAATAGAGTGCTCCCCGAGGAGGGTGTGTGTTTGTGTGTGTGCATGCATGTGTATGTGTGTGTGTGTGTGTGTGTGTGTTAGTGTGTGTGTGTGAGTGCGTGTGCATATATGCTTGTGTGCGTGCTTGTGTGTTTATGTGTGGTAGCTGGATATTGTTTCCTTGTTTCCTACTCCCCACTCTAACTATGTGGGAACACAGAGAATCAATCTGTCCTCTGGAACACAGAGAGTAAATCTGTCCTCTGGAACACAGAGAGTCAATCTGTCCTCTGGAACACAGAGAGTCAATCTGTCCTCTGGAACACAGAGAGTCAATCTGTCCTCTGGAACACGGAGTGTCAATCTGTCCTCACACTTGAAACCCTACCTCTTTAAGGAATACCTGGAATAGTATAACAGTAATCCTTCTACCCCCCCTCCCCCAATCCCCATAATTTTATTTTATTTTTTAAAGAGTGGTTGTCCCACTGGCTATCCTAAGTTGAATGCACCAATTTGTAAGTCGCTCTGGATAAGATTGTCTGCTAAATGATGTAAATGTAAATGTAAAAAACAAGGTTCATGACATCAATAATTTTCTAGTAACAGATGACGTTCATATTCTGACTATCTCTGAAACTCACTTAGATAATACCTTTGATGACATAGTGGTAGCAATACAAGGTTATAACATTTGAAGAAAATATAGAAATGCCAATGGTGGAGGTGTTGCTGTTTAAATTCAGAACCACATTCCTGTAAAGCTTAGAGAGGATCTCATGTTAAATACTGTTGAAGTAATATGGCTACAGGTTCATCTGCCTCACCTAAAGCCCATTCTGGTGGGAAGCTGCTATAGACCACCAAGTGCTAACTGTCAGTATCTGGATAACATGTGTGAAATGCTTGATAATGTATGTGATATCAACAGAGAGGTATACTTTTTGGGTGATTTAAATATTGACTGGCTTTCATCAGGCTGCCCACTCAAGAGAAAGCTTCAAACTGTAACCAGTGCCTGCAACCTGGTTCAGGTTATCGATCAACCTCCCGGGGTAGTTACAAACATATATTGATCATATCTTTACTAATGCTGCAGAGATTTGTCTGAAAGCAGTATCAAAATCCATTGGACGTAGTGATCACAATATAGTAGCCATATCTAGGAAAACCAAAGTTTCAAAGGCTGGGCCTAATATTGTGTATAAGAGGTCATACAATAAGTTTTGTAGTAATTCCTATGTTGTTGATGTAAAGAATATATGTTGGTCCGTGGTGTGTAATGAGGAGCAAACAGACACTGCACTTGACACATTTATGAAATTGCTTATTCCATTTACTAATAAGCATGCACCCATTAAGAAAATGACTGTAAAAGCTGTTAAATACCCGTGGATTGATAAGGAATTGAAAAATTGTATGGTTGAGAGGGATGAGGCAAAAGGAATGGCAAATAAGTCTGGCTGCACAACCGATTGGCAAACGTATTGCAAATCATGTGACTAAACTGAATAAAAAGAAGAAGAAACTACACTATTAAACAAGATAAATGACATAAAGAATAATAGTAAAAAGACTTTGGAGCACCCTAAATGAAATTTTGGGGAAAAAGGCAAACTCAGCTCCATCATTCATTGAATCAGATGGCACACACAAAACCATCATCACAAAACTTATATTGCCAACTACTTTAATGATTTTTTCATTGGTAAGATTAGCTAATTAAGGCATGACATTCCAGCAACAATTGCTGACACTACACATCCAAGTATATCTGACCAAATTATGAAAGACAAGCATTGTAATTTTGAATTCCGTAAATTGAGTGTGGAGGAGGTGAAAAAAGTATTGTTGTCTATCAACAATGACAAGCCACCGGGGTCTGACAACTTGGATGGAAAATTACTGAGGATAATAGCGGACGATATTGCCACTCCTATTTGCCATATTTTTTAATTAAGCCAACTAGAATGTGTGTGCCCCCAGGCCTGGAGGGAAGCAAAAGTCATTCTGCTACCTAAACATAGTAAAGGAAAAAATTGTGTTTGACCAGATACAATGCTATTTTACAGTGAACAAATTGACAACAAACTTTCAGCATGCTTATAGAGAAGGACATTCAACAAGCACAGCACTTACACAAATGACTGATGATTGGCTGAGAGAAATTGATGATAAATAGATTGTGGGGGCTGTTTTGTTAGGCTTCAGTGCGGCTTTTGACATTATCGATCATAGTCTGCTGGTGGAAAAACGTATTTGTTATGGCTTTACTCCACCTGCTATATTGAGGATAAAGAGTTACCTGTCTAACAGAACACAGAGGGTGTTATTTAATGGAAGCCTCTGCAACATAATCCAGGTAGAATCAGGAATTCCCCAGGGCAGCTGTCTAGGCCCATTACTTTTTTCAATCTTTACTAATGACATGCCACTGGCTTTGAGTAAAGCCAGAGTGTCTATGTATGCGGATGTCTCAACACTATACATGTCAGCTACTACAGCGACTGAAATGACTGCAACACTTAACAAAGAGTTGCAGTTAGTTTCAGAGTGGGTGGCAATGAATAAGTTAGTCTGAAATATTTATAAAACTAAAAGCATTTTATTTGTGACAAATCATTCACTAATTCCTAAACCTCAACTAAATCTTGTAATAAATAATTTAGAAATGTAGCAAGTTGAGGTGACTAAACTGCTTGGAGTAACCCTGGATTGTAAACTGTCATGGTCAAAACATATTGATACAACAGTAGCTCAGATGGGGAGACTTATGTCCATAATAAAGAGCTGCTCTGCCTTCTTAACAGCACTATAAACAAGGCAGGTCCTACAGGCCCTAGTTTTGTCACACCTGGACTACTGTTCAGTCATGTGATCAGGTGCCACAAAAAAGGATTTAGGAAAATTGCAATTGGCTCAGAACAGGGCAGCACGGCTGGCCCTTAGATGTACACAGAGAGCTAATATCTCTCCTGGCTCAAAGTGAAGGAGATTGATTTCATCACTACTTGTGTTTATGAGGGGTGTTGTCATGTTGGGTGCACTGAGCTGTCTGTTTGAGCTACTGGTACACAGCTCGGTCACCCATGCATACCCCACAAGGCATGCCACCAGAGGTCTCTTCACAGTCCCCAAATCCAGAACAGACTATGGGCGGCACACAGTACTACATAGAGCCATGACTACATGGAACTCAATTCCACATCAGGTAACTGATTCAAGTAGTAAAATTAGATTTAAAAAACAGATAAAAACACCTTATGGAACAGCGGGGACTGTGAAGCAACACAAACATAGGCGCAGACACATGCATACACACACACACGATAACATACGCACTACACACACAAGTATTTTTGTACTGTAGATATGTGGTAGTGGTGGAGTAGGGGCCTGAGGGCACACAGTGTGTTGTGAAATCTGTGAATGTATTGTAATGTTTTTAAAATTGTATGAACTGTCTTAATTCTGCTGGACCCAAGAAAGAGTAGCTGCTGCCTTGGCAGCAGCTAATGGGGATCCATAATAAATACAAATACAAATACCTGGAGGGTATTGGGTTAGCCCTGTTCATCACCTTTGGCATGTTCATGTATTATTTTCTACTTGTTCCTACCATCCTTTCTCAAATATCAGTTGTTTATGACTCTAGTGATTACTTGTAAAAAATGAAAATAAAGCTAATTGTTAAAATACTTCTGTTGATTCTGGCCCTGTTATGATGTACTGTAGAGGTCTCTAGAATACATGGCTCAGGTATCTGTTGATTAGGTTATGATGTA